TATGAATGAGCACCATTATTACTTTTCAAAACGTCATCAGTCACACTGGTCAATTTTACAGCCACATCATAATCAGCTTCTCATTTATAAAATTTTCACTTTATCTGCAGTCTGCCTCATATAGTACACTACATTAAAAAAGTATTAGTCTTAGTAAAAGACCTACTACTATTATGGTTTAAAGATAATGCCTATTACTACAGTCACACCACTTACAGTCACACTCCCTACAACTACAATCACGTAAAATCCCCCCCTAGAGTCACATTATTAATTGTAATCATTATCGCATTTGTTGAGAGGGGCTTTTTTGATAGTAAATCGACCCCTTTACAGTCACTTCACGCAGCAGCAACAAAAAAAAAAGGATCTCATTCACAAATAGCCCGTAAAGAAATCTGTGATTATGCACAGAAGGTTCCTAATAAAAAACACCAATCCCCATTGCCGATTTCTTCAATTATCAATATTCAACTCTTAGTATTAGTATTGACAGGTCCACAATTTCGAAAATTGATATAATGAATTAATATAATAATGAAATGCTTTTGCTTTATTCATTTACGTTCTTCGCACTAGCAATAATAATAAACAGTAAGCAACCATGTTTGTTACTTTAGTAAGACAACAGTGCAGATTAATATAACTAAATAAATAGTCAAAGATATTGAGAAATCCCACAGTCAACACACTTTTGGGGGGTTTATTGGAATTTTAGATCACGATCACGTGCATTGTTCGACAATTCCCATACTTGATTTTGGGCATTTAAGATTTCTACTGACCATGTCAAACTTGCAGGGACCTAATGCTTTTGCAGACGATGGGAGGACCGCCATCGAGCGCGTCACGGAAGTTCAGAGCCATAAACTTGCCGATAATGAGCATGAATTAGAAAACGTATACGAAATAGAAAGGGTCGTTACTACTATACTCGATTTTGGGTATGAAAAAGTATGTGGATTGATATGATTTTTTGTAATTTGCTTCTTAACGGAAAGAGTGCTAAAACTATTATACGTCTAACTAGATAGCTCTTCAATTTCCCGACGAACTGTTAGCGGATTCGACACAAGTCGCGACGGCTCTGAAAAAGAGGACAGGAAGAGATATATACATTCTTGCTGATACTTCGTATGGCAGGTAACTTTTCAATTGATCACTTAATCTAGTAATATTTCTACTAATTGTTGTCTTTATGACAGTTGTTGTGTGGATGAAATAGCTGCTCAGCACGTGAATGCTGATTTCATAGTTCATTACGGTCGGTCTTGTCTGAGTCGGTAAGTATTTCTACTCACATCGTAACAAGGTGTATTGTTCTGTTCATAGTGATTATAATAACTTGCATAGGACAACGCGATTACCAGTCTTGTATGTATTCGGCAAGAAAACGATAGATGTTAGTCATTGTCATGAAGCTTTCAATCAGCTTTTCGGTCATAATAAAGAACAGCCAATACTTGTAATGTACGATGTTATGTACGCTCATTGCATAGGTATGCCTGAAAATTGTATACTGACATAGTTTGTATTGTGTCTCGGTTCACTAAATGGCCTTTTAATTTAATAGAAGATTTTGTTCAACAAGTACAAGAAAGTAATTACACAAATATAATAAGATCTTTCGTAAGGACAGAAACCAATTTAATACCACTCAAGGAAACTGACGAAGGTGAATGTCTCTTAATACGTATTACGTGTGTGTCTCCACAAAGCGTCTCTGACTCTCCATCAGAAGCACTTTATACGTCAACGCCTATACATTGGTACCGCGGCACAAGAGCAGTTAGTTTATAGACTGTTGTCTGCGAAAAGTTTAATGGGCAAGGACTTATGGCTGATAAAATGATACCGTAGACATAGCATATCTCGCGAGTGTTACTATGCTTAAAGCACTTTATCTCTTACGTGTCGGGGCCTGAGTCGTAACATGTCTATAGTACAAATAGTATTAATAGATTATCAATACTTGTTATCTATGATCCTAATCTTATCTTCTCATAGGTCAACAAACAGAGGCGTTTACCAGTGGGCGACATTATACGTTGCCAGATGGCATAACTATTGAGGATTGTAGAGTGTTTTACATTGGAGATGAGAGTTTAACATTGACAAACTTAATTATGACACTTAACAAATGCAAGGTAAATATAGTCCCATGTGACGAGGTCAAATATTGTGAACCTTGATTGTCAATCACTTCGCGTTAGTTCTATACGTATAACCCGAAGACGCGCGCTGGTCGGCAAGAAACATTCCAAGTGAACAAAGCTCTAATGAAAAGGTATGTACGACTATGTTTAGTTAGAGGATACTTTAGAATTATTGTAAGTTGCGTACAAGAATGATGTCATTCAATATCTAAGCCGGTCTTCGTTTATATATAGATTCTACTTGATTCAAAAAGCAAAAGATGCAAACGTAATTGGCATTGTTGTCGGTACCTTGGGAATTGGTATCAAATTATATTTCATGCTTGTGTTTTATCGAGTGATAAGCGTTATACTGATATCCAACATTGATGACAGCATCATACATGACAATACTTTCACGATTGAAGAATTTGATCAGAAGGACTGGCAGGAGATCGTATACGTTTGCCATGGGCAAACTTAACATAGCTAAAATGGCCAATTTTATGGAGATTGATTGTTATGTCCTTGTTGCATGTCCTGAGAACAGTTTAATTGATTCAAAGGTATGCAAAAAACGACAGTGATGGATTACGATGTTTCCATGCAGTTATTAATTAATGTACGGGATCAGGAATTTTATCGTCCAATAGTAACGCCGTTTGAATTGGAAATAGCTTTAGACAGGTAAACGGATATATATAATCTGAATTAAAAATTAATAAGTGTACTATAATGCTGGGCTGGCTGGATTTTTTAGGTCGAAAGAGTGGACCGGTGAATATATCACCGATTTCCAGCAGCTATTATCAGGTATTTTCTCCCTTACATTAATAAAATGAACTAAATTTTCATTGTAACAATAATTAAATTCGTCTTCAGTCTCACACCAGGAGGCAAATGATGAATTGCAAGAGCTCTTTGACGATGATGAACCGCATTACTCATTGGTCACAGGCGAGCTCAGGCAGGGAAGGAGATATGACACCCAAAACCATGAGTGTGCGTATTCTGCCAAAGACACTGTTTTTCGATACACCCCACATTGCTAATGAAATCAAATAACTAATAGTTTCATCTGGATCAACCACACTTGTGTTGAGAAATAAAGATACTTCTGTATCCAATGTTTTAACCAGCGCTGCAGGTAAGAAGTGTCACCGAGGATGCGATAACCTGCTCAAGAACAGTCGAGATTTCAATGGAACGTTATTACTAATGCGGTGCGTTATTATAGGGGAATTCTTCGCTTCAAGGACGTTCAGAGGATTAGAACAGCGCATCGGAGAGACAGAAGTGTCTTATGCTGAAGAAGGGCGTTTAGGAACTGCAAGGCGATATGATGACGAAGATATATGACGTAAAACTTTATGTTGTATTATCAAATTAGATATTACAATATATCTTCTGAGAGAAAATATCTTCGAAAGAATTATAAATTTGCGTCATCAAACCTAACAATTTGAATTATAGTTGATGAAATGGAGTCATTCATATGTTATTTACATAAGATACACAATCCCTGAATACGTACAACTGTCCCGGAAGACGAGGCAATACGAGGCCATAGGTCAGCACATTCTTTACCGACAGGCCCCGTGATAGCGGAACCCTTCATTTCTCCCTTCGGATTGACAATTACGCCAGCATTGTCTAATTTATATATATACGTGTTGGAGTCAATATGACCAATCATTTATAGCCAAAGAACAATGTATGTACAAACCTTCGAAATAAAGAAACACTCCATCTTTCCTACGCCATGGTTTTCTCTGGCGTATGACAACAGCAGGCATAACTACAACACAGATTATTGCGTTAGTCATCTATCATCATAAATCACTGTTTTCTAATAAAGATACCCATGGCTCTTACTATTTTATTTATACTCTATCCAAACTATTTATCCTTCGATCTTTCCAAGTAAATCTTCTACCTTTCTTCCTCAAATCTGGTCTCCCCTTCTTCACAGTTGCCATAACCATATCTCCGACACCAGCAGCGGGTAATCTGTTTAATCGCCCATGGATACCCTTAACGCTTATAATATAAAGGTTCTTAGCACCCGAGTTATCAGCACAGTTCATTATTGCACCAACGGGAAGACCGAGGGTCATCCTGAATTTGTTGCCAGATGCTGCGGGGATGAATGGTGAGTTTGATAAGAGATGTTGGGAATGATCTACTTATGATAAGCTCTGGAAACTCACCACCACCGCGTCCTGAGAATAGAAGGGAAGAAACATGCGGTTAATATTCGAATAACAATGTTTGATTGAATTGTTAGAACAATATATTTGTGCGGAAGATCCAGTTAATAGCCGCGTTGACTTTTAATGAGGATAGGTCACATTTTGGATCGATATGTCTTATTTAATGCTACTTTTACTTTATCATAACCAAATTAGCGGGCTCTCAGCTTTCTTTAGTCAGCATTATATCTTTCCATAGTTATACACACCTCTCTTAGACATGGTTCTAGCCTAGAAGGAATGGTATGTAGTGCGAAAGAGGGAGAAAATGTATCGTCTATCAAGCAAATTTTTTATACATTTGTGAATCACGTGAATTGTTCAAATGTGGCACGGTTACATATTAATATTATTATTAAATTATACTGCGCAATCGTATGATTTATTGATCGCAAACAGTTTTTCTTTACAACTAACATAGCTATACTAATACTGACTTAAAATATTGGATGTCTTAATTAACATAATCATGGTCACAAATGACTATTACATATTAATATGTAAACTGCAAACTACATATTCAATTGGACAATAATCATCAGTTTTCTGTGATTGACGAAATCATCTTTGTTAAAAAGTTACCGTGCACTTCAAATTTCGAGTAAATTAAACTCAGGAATTAATTTACCTATATAAGTGTACTTACAATTCTTTGAATTTACAGGTTAAGGAAGTTGATCAAACTAGTTTGTTCTTAATCTTCTATACATTTTCAGGCCCCATGTGTGCCTAATAAAGACCTCGAAAACTCTATACAGTTTCAGGATTCTCCTGTGTAATATATATATTTTTAGCAGCATATTATCTGTAACTCCGGTCTATACAAATCCACGTTTTTCGCGCAAACCTACGACTTGTTATTAAATTGACGAAATTAAGAGCACGAGGAACTGTTTCTTGTAATCCGCTCCATTACCATGTGTAATTACAACGAGCTCATCTTTAACAAATTTTCCGGGACAATGGACCGTTACACACAGATGCCGAAAATTGTTCTACAATAACGATAGTAATATCGTCAAAGTTTTTGAAGTCAGGTTGAGTTTATTATACACAGTGAAAGTCGATATAACGGATTCGTCGGGACAGGCACCAAAACCGTTATATCGTGACAATCCGTTTTAC